TCTGTCTCAGGCACTGCCGCAGTTGTGCTATATTGATCTCCTAGGCATTTATTAACCCATCCAAGTTGTCAATAAAGATTGGCCATCATGTGTATTACAGGAGCATTGGGGAAAGGAATCCTGCTCCGGTACTGAGGCGTTTGTTTGGCAGAAGGCTTCCAGAGTAGTCTCTGGATGCTGTAATGGTATACTTCATCAGAGTGATGATCTTAAACATCCCAGCTGCAACAGGAATCCTCACCATGCTAGAGTGGGCGAGGGAGCCCCAACACAGCTGCTGTGTCCTCAGAAATGGGGGCTGATTCCTGGCTTGTCTTCCTTTCATGGTCCTGGGATGAAGCAATGCCTTTCTTGGTTTGGTGACTTTGAGGAGTAGTGGAATGTAGACCATAAATGATGGAAGAACTACGTAACAACTCCCCAGACTTTCTTCTGAAGAAAATAGCACATGAAGCTGGAGAGATGGCTCAGCAGTTAAGAACACTGGGTGCTCCTTCAGAGGAAGCAGATTCGGTTCCCAGACCTCACAACTGTCTATATCACTCCAGTTTCAGGGGAAATGACGCTCTCTTCTGGCTTCGGTAGACACCAGGCAAAACCACGCAGATAAAACATCCATACACATAGAACAAAAAATTAAAGAGGCGTCATCTTTTCTAGCCATATTAACTTGTTATTAGGTGGCTAGCCCCATGTAGAAGAATGGAACTGCCTTCCCATCTCCCACCAGGCACAGAATTCAGTTCCGAATGCGTCAAAGACCTTAAGGTAAACCTGAAACTCTGAACCTGCTAGAGGAGAACCCAGGGAAATTATTTCAAGAGATAGGAATGGGCAGGAACTTTCTGAAGAAGACTCCAATAGTTTAGAAAATAATCCCATGAATTAACAAACAGGAGAACAGGAGTGCAAGTGAGAAGTCTTGGGGCAGCAAAGGAACAGGTCACAGAGCGAGGGGACTCCCTACAGAACGGGAGAGAACATTGCCAACTATACATTTAGCAGAGGATTGCTCTCTAGATAGCTAAATCTATAAGTGGCTCTGAAAATCAAACACTGCAATTAATGTGTTAATGAAGTGCCCGGAAAGCTCTCGAAGGAGAAATACAAGTGGCAGAATAAAAGTCTGAGAAAGTATTCAGCCTCCTTAGCTACCAGGGAAATGCAAATTAAACTTTTGGAAAGTCTGTCTCACTGTTGGACTGACTGTCCTCAATACAGCACATAACAAATGTAGGTGGAGTGGGGAAAGATGGCCCCACCTCTCTCTCTCTCTCTCTCTCTCTCTCTCTCTCTCTCTCTCTCTCTCTCTCTCTCTCTGTGTGTGTGTGTATAGTGAATGCAGGAAGCCAGAGATAACTTGGGGTGTCATTCCTCTAGAGCCGTCTATGTTGTTTCTGAAACAGGGTCTCTCACTGGCCTACAGTTTGTCAAGTGGGCTAGGCTGACTGGGCAGCAAGTCCTGGAGATCTGCCTGCCTCTGCCTCCCCAGTGCTACGATACAATTACACATACCCTCATATCTATGTCTGTTGTAGGGAGGAACACTTACACACAGTTGCTGGGAATAGTATACCCACTAGCAAAGTCAGTGTGGATAATTCTCAAGAAAATCTATAAATGTCGCTATCACATGATCCAGCTGTGCCAGTCCGTGGTGCACACCGGAAAGAATCTAAGTTGACAGAGATACTTGCACCGGCTTGGTGGCTTGGTTATTACTGCCGATAGCAATAGCCATGAATAGCACAACATCTAGGAAGTGGACCAGACTTGATGTCCACCAACAAATAAATGGATCTAGGAAATGTACCTACACATCATGGAATTTCAGTCAGCTACAAGGAAGAATGAAATTATGACGCCTGCAGGGAAAAATGAAATAAGGGCAAAATTAGAGCTCATTATTTTACAGCGCATACGCCAGACTCAGAAAGATAAACATTTTCTCTTATATGTGAAATGCAGACCTAAATTTATATATGCACACACACACACAGACACAGACATACATAAATACACAGGACCTGAAAGTATAAAGGGGCATATTAGAGACAGGAAGAGGCTCAAGGGCAAGGAGTAGGAGGCAGCAGGGAGTGTGGTGGAATATATGTGGCATGGATGCAGAAGGAGAGACTATTTGGGAGGTGGAAGAGGACCATCAAGAGACGAGGGTAGACAAGGATGAAAAGGATCAGTTAGGGGGATGCGAAAACACAGAAGGCTCTGAGAAGCGATCCTGCTTTCTCTGCTCTCTGACCTCCAATGGAGATCGTCTCTTTCAGCGATCTCTGCTTATATCAAAGGACAATAAGTTATACAGATCTTAGTTTTAAGAAATTGTTCTGCCGGGCGGTGGTGGCGCACGCCTTTAATCCCAGCACTCGGGAGGCAGAGGCAGGCGGATCTCTGTGAGTTCGAGGCCAGCCTGGACTAAAAGAGCTAATTCTAGAACAGGCTCAAAAGCTACAGAGAAACCCTGTTTAAAAAAAAAAAAATTGTTCTGATGATATGGTTTGACCTCAGTGCAAACACGGTGTGATCAAATAATGGCAATTTAAACTCTAATACGATATTAAATTAAGAGGGACCCCAAGTCGTCAGTTGACACTTCCGTTCATAATACGAAGCATAGATATTTTTAGGTTCTGACATTGGGTTTGGTAGTCCTTGTTCTATTTTGTCTGTTCAAGAATTGTCCTGTATCTTTGATCTGCATTTAGATCTTCTGGTGGCAGTACTTTATAATATCTAGGACCAGGAATGCCATCTTTGGTGGTAACACAGCAGGGGGCCCGTGGAGAGGTCTTAAAGTGTTGATAATTAGCAGTGTGTGAAGTACACAGTCTCAAAGCAATTAAGAACAGTAATTGAAATATTTGGTTACAGAGCAGAACGGCTCATAGGTAGCGGGGGTGGGGGGGTGCTGCTTGTTTGCTTGTAGGAGCTACATTATACAAAAGAGGTTGAAAATCCAGAAGAACAAATATGGGCCAAGCACGTGCTTGTCTCTGAAGCAGCCACATTTTTGAGTAGCATTGCCTTGTTGCTGTATGTGACTCTATTAGCTGCAAACTTTAATATTAACAATGCAAACTTTCCGCCTATCTCTTGTAAACATGGCACACTCTTTACTCATGAAAACTCAGCTGTCAAGGAGAGCCAACTCTCATTTGACTTGGTAAACACTTCCGTGTTCATGTACTTTAAATGCAGTTCGTGGTCACACAACGGGCCACAATGTCACATCTACGCTCATTTGGGAGGCAAAGGGGACTATTCATGATGAGCTCAGGATGACCCAGGGATTTTATTTGAGAGTCCTTGTATAGACTTTGCATGAACTTCATAAGCTTTGACATTTGATGAATGTGAAAATATATACAAGAGACTCAAAACAAATCCAGTCTTGTGAGAAAGTTTAGGCAAAGTGAGAAAGAAATGCAAATTTCCTTCTAGAGGACCATCAGTAGAAACTGGAGGATGCTTTCCCCAGTGCTTATGGGAGAGTGGGCTGCTGTGGGCTTCCTTAAGAAGCCTGCCTGGGGCTTATTGAGGTAGAAAATACAATACCACTAAATATGAGGGGAGGCTGAGAGCCCAGGGATAATTGGGGGTCTGATTATTTCTGTCCTCTGGCTGGGGGAGCCAGTTGTACAGCCTTTGTGCTAAGGAAAAGAAACGACAAGCTTGAAATCCACAGGTTATGTCAGTGCTGAAGCTGGTCAGCACTTTTCACTTCCCGGAAAGTGGTCGCTTAAGGCCAACTCTTGATTGTTTCTCCTTAGACTCCACCTGCTTTCTGAAGAAGTATGTAACAGATGGCAATTTTTTTTTTAAGTTAAGGTTCCAGCAGGCTGTGAAGGATAGGAATCTAGCACCGTAAAGTTCCCCAGTTAATCACTCCATCCTGTTTGAGGAACTGGCAAGCATATAGATGTTATGATCTAGGAACCACAGTCCATTCATCTGCTCGCAGATATTGGAGTGTGCACAGGGTATATAAAAGGTAAATTGTACTCCACGTCTGAAGCCGAGCTTATTATGCAAATATATCTCCTAAGATGTGGAGGAAAGGGGCTTAGGAGTTACTGAACAGGCCGGGAACCCAGGACTGCAGCATTAGCCCAGGGTTGGGAAACACGTTTGAGAGGTGAAGGCTTGACCTCTTTGGATCGGGGAAAGTTCCTGTTTGTTTCGTAATGTGTGCACTTCATTATTTGCACGATTTCACGAAGCGCTTGGGAGCTGTGTATGCAGTAAGGTGAGTCAGAAGCAGTACCCTAGACTTAGAAAGTGGACCAAACTCCCTATTTCAATGTCTTAGAAATACATTTAGTAAAAACCTTCCAAACTATACCTACTTCTTGATGCTAAATTTTCCATTTATTTATTTATTTATTTATTTATTTATTTATTTTCTGAAAATGTTTGTAGGAGTTTCTTGGGGGAAAACAATTCTATACTCATTTTCACTGTGGTCTGAGGATGAGTTAAAAAGTAAAACTAGCTCCCAGGACAGCTCCCCAGGCCCACGGTGGTGCAGAGCAATCCCGGTGTTTGCAAACAGGAGGCCTGTGCAGTTCAAGGTCATCCTTTCTCCACCGGGAGGAGTTTGAGGCCAGACTGTTTTCCTTGAGACCCTGTCTCACAAAACCAAGTCCTAACAAAACTTACGGGGTAAATGATGGAGAATAAACCGTCTGCCCAATCTTGTTGAGATCGCGGTCTTCAAACCCCCTCCCAAAGCAAGGCCACCCATCCGCTCCTTTTAGGGAACTGCCTGGAGCAAGGAAAGCGCCCCGGGCCAGGCTGGTCCTGGGGTCCCGCGGCTTCTGGAAGGGCTCCTAGGGCTTGGGCGCTGCAGGTTTCCTGGGGAGCAGCAGCCCCAGCTCCTCTTTCGCTGGCTGCTCTCTCCGTGTGTGTTCGTGTGTTGGGGGTGTAAGTCGGGGGCGGGTCCTCGGACCAGACACGCCCCCACCGGCCTTAAAACGCGCGGGCCCGCGTCCAACTCGCCGCTGCTCGTGCTCGCGGGGACTGCCACGCTCCGCGCGGCCCCCAGCCCCGCGTCGGTCGCACCCGGGTCTCACAGCTGCCCATGGCTGACCTGAGCTTCATCGAGGATGCAGTCGCCTTCCCCGAGAAGGAGGAAGACGAAGAGGAGGAAGAGGAGGGCGTGGAGTGGGGTTACGAGGAAGGTAGGCTCGCGACGGGGCTGCTGTTGCGACGCGGTCCCGCACCTTCCCCTCCCAGACTGCGACTGCAGTTCGCACCTGCTGTGCCGTGGCAGCCCAGACCCCAGAAGACCCGAAACCCAGTTGCTTTCTAGTCTTGGGGAGGTACAACCAAATGCGTCCCGAATTGCAAGCTGGGTCAGGGCTCTTGGTGACTTTAAAAGCAGTTTCCCAAATCTCTCCCTGAAACCCCAGGGCTCCTAATTGCCATTAATGCCCATGTTTACTGTATACATGGAAAAGAAAAGCGCAGAGGAGTCCACAAATATATGTATGGGACACTGTGTTTTTTAAACAAGTGTTCCTCCTTAGCATTACGGGGTTTCTGCTCGCGGTCTCTGTGCATGTTGAGCGTTGCTGATATTTTCTAAGTATTGCACACAATTGAACAGATAAGCAGAGTAAATATCTGTGGTATTGTTTCTAATCACTTAAAGATGACTTAAGTTCCCTAAATCCCCAAATCAAGTCATCTGTGTGCACAGATATAAACACAGTGAAGGATTTTGTGTGTGGTATTGTATTTAACAACAGATCACTCACGTTATGAATGTAAAGACTCATACACATTTCTCTTATTTCATTTATATACAGATGATAGCCATAGCTATGATGTCATGGATTATGAGTTTTTATGTTATATTTTACTGTTACTAACTAAAAAAAGCCTATTGTCAATTTTTGTCATTCTCTCATCAGGTGTTGAGTGGGGCTTGGTGTTTCCCGATGCTAACGGGGAGTACCAGTCTCCTATCAACCTAAACTCCAGAGAAGCCAGGTACGATCCCACGCTGCTGGATGTCCGCCTGTCTCCAAACTACGTGGTCTGCCGAGACTGTGAAGTCACCAACGACGGGCACACCATTCAAGTTATTCTGAAGTCAAAATCAGGTATTTGGGGAAACATGTTTCTGTGCTCTTGTGAACAAGTGGACAATCTCTGATTTAGCTTATAGGTTTCAGAGGGGACACCAGTGCCCTCTCTACTTTCTTAGTTCTTCACATATCCTGGGAATTGGGAAAGAGCTGTGGAGGGCGAAGAGGGAGAAGTGGCGGCTATCTCAGCTGGCCGTTCTCCCAGCGCTGTGCCTGGAGCCGCCTCTGTTGCTTGAGCAAACATGGACTGGACTGTGAGGAGAGCATGTTTACAGGCGTGCTTCTTTGAGTTTTTCTGCTGTGCATTTTGTTCTGAATTATCGATTAGCCAAAATCATTTAGTCACAGTTCCTTGTTTTACTAGTTTGTGAAACCAAAGATCAGAATTTACTTTTTGATGTCGCCCATATTTAATATAAACTTTTCAAAGAAGGTTTCCCTTCTCTATTTATGGCAGTTAATAGAGAATTTTAAGGACATCATTTGAAGGACAGTTAAGAGCATCCTCTAAAACTCAACCAGATATTTAAATGGAAACCAAGCTCTTTGTTCTATTTTTAACTCTCACCCCCCTTCTTCTTGAACCTAGTCGAAATGAATCTGAAGTGTTTTGTTGAAAAATTAAATTTTCAGGGAAATTGGTTTTTCAGTTTAAATGTAGGAGAGATGAAAGCAGATTAGAAAAATAAGCTTTAACGTTGTGTTTTCCAAGGGAAGTAATGGCTGTTTTCCTCCTCGAAAGAATCAGAGTGTGGTGAATGTTGAAGTGCTTCACAGACAGACTGTGCTCGCATTAATTTCAAATTGATAGACTAGGTATTTTAAACCATAAAACCTTCAGGTCCGTCATTAGACAAGGAAGGTGCAGATTCCTTCCTCCAACTCCTGCTTAAGAACTTTATTCGGAACCCGTGAGAGAGAGCATGTATCGTCGAAGCTCTTGTGAGTTTAATCAAGGCAGGAAAAGCTCCTGAAGGACAGTCTGTCTATTGTATGGAGTTACTATGATTTTTACTGAGTTCACACTCTGAACTTTGATCCGAAATCAGAATGTTCCAGAGTTGTTTACCCTCTGGTCATTGTATATTTTACATTACTGTGTACTTTGAACGCTCCTCTGCCTGTTTCCTCCACTGACCTCCACTCCGAGTGATGGGCAGGAAGAGCTGTCTGGACTTCTGTCATGATCCCGGCTTTGTCCTCCACTGCGTTGGGGACTTTACTACCTAATGTATCCTGCCCTCTTTCTGTCACTGCCATAATCTCTCCCTTACAATATTTGAACAAACCTACAAGTTAATCGGTGCGTGTGTGGTGGTGCACACCTTTAATCCCAGCACTCCAGAGACTGACAAAGATTCATCTCTGTGAATCCAGGCTAGCCTAATCTATGTGAGCACTTACCAAAAAGAGACAAGTAACTGGAAAAAAAAAAGTCTTGATTAGTTTATTACTGTTTCCTGAGATATTTCAGCTTCTTTAAATGTTGAACACTATAATCCATTTAATGGAGTTTTTCTTCATCAAAATTGACTGCAGACATAATTTGAATAGTTGGCTATTTCTGCACATTCTCTACCTCTAGCTACAGCCTGTCTCATCCCACCTACAATTTCTGTTTTTCTCTAGTAACAACCACTTTGAACCTTTAAGAATTACTATTTTGTTTTTTGAAATTATAATATAATCACATCATTTTCCCTTCCTTTCCCTAAACCCTCACATATACCTTTTCTGGCTTCCTTTCAAACTCATGACCATTTTAAAATTAATTGTTGTCATATACATGTATGTAAATGTACATATATATATATTCCTAAATATATAAATACAACCTGCTGGTTTTGCATTACTTAGGTGTTTCTTTTCAGGGCTGAACCTTTTAAAATGGTTTTTCTTTTATTCTTAATACCACCTTCATGTTTTTTGTTCTGCTATGTAAGCATTCTGCAGGCTCCCTGCTATGGAAGGGGAGGCGGGTCTTATAAGCCTCTCCTGATTTCGACCCATGTGCCTAAATCATAGTTATTAAAATTAAACTTAGAACATTATTGATATGATGTTGCACCTGCCGTTTCTATTTCCTTTATGGAATCTCACCCCCACCACCCTGAAGTTACTGTAGTTTTGTTTACTTATTTTTAAAGTTACCTTACAGGAATCCACCTTTAACGCTGACAGATGACAGTGCTGTCTCAGGACATCAAAGCCACCAAGTCATCCTCCCTTCCTTCTTGTCCTTTCTGCTGCCCTGGGGGCGGTCCCTCCCTGTCCGTCCGCGCTGACACCGAAAAGCCAACATGCACACTTTCCATTTCTGCTCTCACACTTTCAGTTTCCAAAAAACTGCTACTGATTTTTGAATTTATTTCCTTTGAGTCTCACCATCCAGTGTTTCATGAAAACGAGATCTTCCTTCGTTCTTCGCTGGAGCCTTCTTCCTGGATTCCTGTTTATTCTGGGCTCCTGCTGTCAATTCAGCTCCATCCTTTCCTCTTGGAGGTTCCTGTCAAACACCTAGTGACCCCGCTCTCTGCTGCTCCTTAAGAATGGCCCTAAAATACAGTCTAGAAGCTCAGTTCATTGTGGGAGAGGCTTTAGTCTGGTCGCATGGTCAGTAATGGAAGCAGACATTGACCTGGAGGTTGGCTCAGCGTCCTCAGAACGTACCTGCTTGTTGCTCCTGCTCTTTTGAGGCACAGTGGGTGGGTAGGTGGGGAGAACTGGCCCCAGTGTGGATGTTTGCATTCTAACTGTTGCCAACAGCCAAGAGAGCACCACCATATGCCATGTTCCTACTCCCTGTCCATCTGCCAAGGACCATAAAGGCAGCTGTCTGATTATGGAGAGTGGGGTGCAGAGTGAACCGCTCTTTTCAGAGACCTTCATTTCCTGTTTGCACTCTCCTTCTCTGTGCCTCCACCCACATCCAGGCACACCCAATGCCCACCAGTTCCGAGTCTGCCCTGGTGTCCTTTTCCTTTTGGCTGCTATGCTAAAATGTGATTTATAATAATAGGAGTGTCTTAGTTAACATTTCTGTTTCTGTGAAGAGACACCACAATCACAGCAGCTCTTATAAAGGAAAACATTTAATTTGAGGTAGCTTACAGTTCAGAGGTTCAGGCCCTTACCATCATGGTGGACACATGGCAGCATGCAGGCAAACATGGAGCTGGAGAGGTAGCTGAGAGTTCTTCGTCTTGCACAGGCAAACAGGAAGCAGTTTATCTAACTGGGTGTAGCTTGAACAGAGAAGACCTCAAAGCTCACCCCCACAGTGACACAATTCCTCCAGCAAGGCCACACCTCTCACTAATGTCACTTCATTTGGGGGCCACTTTCTTTCAAACCACTAAAGGGAGTTTCAGTCTTCCAGTTCTAGAATCTGGCAAGTCTCAGCTCGGGGTGTGTGCAGATGCAGCACCCAAGAAGAACGGGCTTCACTGCATAGACTGCACCTCGTCGTGGTGTCCTCAGGCTGCAGAGGGTAAAGGGAGGACTCTTTCAATTCTCTGGGGCAGAATGCACTTGGACCTGGCTTCAGTAGGCCATGTCCTGCTGCGGGTGTGCCTCCAGGGGACGTCTCGGCTGTTGCCTCTGTTTTACTAGATCAGAATGTTGGGCCAGCCAGCAGCTCCCTTGGTTGCTTTGGCTTCTCTCTGTGCTTTTACATTCTCCCCTCAGCCATCCTGCCCTGGCACAGTCCCCTTATGTGTCACGAGGCTTGAGGAGGGAAGGAAGCCCCTGGGGAGGGACGTAATTCCCTTTTACATTTCATCCATTTCTTTATTCATTTTTCTGGTTTTGTTTTGCTTTTGGGATAGGATCTCAGTAAGTTATCCAAGACTGGCCTGAAAATCACTGTGTGTTGGAGTGGGTTTTGAAGTCCCAGGAATCCTCCTGCCTCTGTCTCCTACAAGCTAGGATGGTAGCCATGAGTGTCATATCCCACTCACATGCTTTTAAAAACCTTGTTGTTTGAATGATTATTTTTGTTATTAGTGTGTGTGTGTATGTGTGTGTGTGTATGGTGTGTGCATGTGTGTTTTGAGGGTTCATGCATAGGGAGGTCAGAGGGCAATTTTATGGTCGTACATCTCCTTCCGCGTTTACAGGGGTTCTTGGGATCAAATGTAGGTTATCAGGCTTTGCAGAATGTGCTTTTAACTGACGAATCATTTTGCTGATCCACAAGTTATCTTTGTAAGGTAAAAAGCAATATTCATAGGATAAGTGCCGTGGTCTTGTTTTAGGGACTAAAGCTGACTTTTTATTACCGGCTGTTGCAGTATTAGTTCCTCTGAGGACGCCTGTGGCCATGAGCACTTTTTTCTTTTCTTTTAACTTTTTTCATGTTTTTATTGTAAAAAAAGAAAAAAAAACTCAACTCACAAAGATTGCCCCAAATGATGACACCACGTTTGTAGTATGATCTCATTGTTTAACATGGTTGTCTTGCTGACACAGTTCCTGTATATGGTCACTGCCTCACAGTGAACTTGAGGCATTTCTTGAACTCAGTTCCTAGCCTCCCTACCGTGCGGCTTTGCTGAGACTTTCTCAGGCTGAGGCCTCTGCTGACCTTCCCACATGCTCTCCCCAGGGGGAACTGTAAAAGCCTGTCAGATTCCAGCTCTGCTGGGCTTGAAGTGCGGTGTGTGGTAATGCTCTGGCTGGTCTCCGACAGTTATCTGAGGGTTGTTTTAGCTTTGACTGCCTTCTCCCTGCCAGTTCTTTATTTGTTCCTTAGCATACTGGGCTGTCTAGCTTCCTCCTCGAGGCTCCTGTCACAGGGACACTATAGTGGAGAGACTGCGTGCCGCTTTGTTTCGGGCTGTTTCCATCAACAGACCGGCCCTAAGTTGCATACCCCTTGGCGGGTTGGGACAGCCTCCTCTTGAGCGATCCAGGCGAGGGAAGTCAGTCCTCCTGAGGAAGACATGCTTCACGTGAGCCATTCCACAAGTCAGAAAGTTCTACGGCTTCCCCATGATGTCCAGCTCAGAGTTCGG